GTCCATCCCACTGGTAGCTATGATGCATACTGACCACCAGGGGGCTGACACTCAACACAGGAGCTGCGGAGCTGCAGTGACTTGGCAGTGGTGGTTCTTGGGTGATGCACCCCTGAAAACAGAGGAGGAAGCCCGATTCTTCATAGGGTCGTACAATTCTACCTTCGGCCATGGGTTATGTTGTTGCTGGGGCACTGTTGGCTCTGAATCTGGTTTACTGCACACTTGTGTTTGCGTTCCACACCCTGTACGAGAGCAACTTTGCAGAGTGTCTCTCGCACTCCTGGACCCCTCAGGGGATGTTGGAGAGCTGGTTTCGGCCCAATTCTTACAGACCAGGCCGAGGGACCCCACCTGTCAGAGGTGCCCTTTGAGCCACAGCACCACCCCAGAGGTGGCCGGCTGGGCAGGGATAGAGGGAGGTTGGCTCCAGGATGTGTCCAGGCCATCTCATCCAGTCCCGCCCTGCCGGCCACCTTTTAATTAATTTCCTTTCAATGTGCACAAATCCGTGCACTGGGTCACTAGTTTTGTAATAAAGGGTTAATTGATCAGGGTGATAAAACAATCAGAAACATAAAAAGCCCCCACATTCATGGGGAAAAAAACACAACCTGACAAAATTGCAGAGAAAAATAGATAATTTAGCAATAATAGTTTAAGACTTCAGTACCCACTCTCATTAATTGATAGAACAATAGGATAGAATTGTTAAATTGGTAAGAGAAATAAGTGAGATGTAGGCTTAAGAGTAGAGCTGAACGTCAAAGTGAATTTTACATTTTGATTGTGCTGTTTTACCATTGTGTAAAAGAAAAGGATATTCTAAAGGCTGCAGGCAGATCAGAGAAGTTTTACTAAAAAGAGAAACACACAAAGTAAAAATATTCTATGGGTTCATGGAATAAAAAGAAAAGTAATTTTTTAAATTAAATATAGATAATATCCTATTATATGTATAATCTCATTTTTACATCATATTTATGTATATTAAGAATATACAATAATATGACCTATAATTTAAATATCTAATACTTAAAAAGTTAAAATTAATTGCTGTAACAGAAGACAGAAACATAAGTACTTTATTATATATTTTTAATAATACTTGTATTATTAGTTCTATTAATACTAATTGCCATTGTTTACTAGTCCTGTTATTTTGTTTAACCACATTTATGTAATAGAAAAGTAAAGAATACAGATTAATAGATAATTTTGGAAAACAATCACTTTTGTATTATTAAGGCAATAACAAATGTGTAAACTTACTTCTTCTATATTACTTTTCTGAGTGGGGCAGTCTGGTAAGTTGTGAGCTGTGATAGCTCTCCGGAAGTGTTGATCACCCTATATCAGGGAGCCTTAATCCAAGTCTCTGTACCAGAGTTTATAGGAAAAATTAAATAAATATAAAATGTTATTTTTAAATTTGCCTCATAATTTTCTAGAAACTGAGTTCAGAGAGCTTAGAGGATAAATGAAAGGACAGAACCAACTAACATCATGTTCCTCTCTAATCTTTGTCACATACTTGGAGTTGTTTAGCTCTCCTATTCCTGTTTCAGGGGAAAACATAAACAACACACTACACCACACCCTTCTATACACAAACAACAGATAAGTACCCTTCTCTCCCCCAAAATGAAAACCACTATACGACCTGCTTGGACTTACTAACAATAATGTTGAATTAACAAGGGAGCATTATAAGTTCTGTTGCCCTTTTTCTACAAAATTATACCCTGCCGTATACTTTTTCTTCTTTTATCCCTTTTCTTGATTTATTCATTCTGTTCCTTAGATACTTTATTGGATAGCTTGGAGAAATTATTTAAACTATGCATTCTTTTGCTAGTTTTCTAAGAGTTACCATCCTGATCACTTGATCTCCGGAGCTTTCAGAACTAAAACTTTGAAGTTGACATCATAAAGATGACCATATTCCTAGATTTCAGCATTTTTTTTTCAGTAAAGTAGTTTTTCACATTGAACATCAGATTTTGGAAGTTGTTGGAACAGATGAACTTTTCAGATAAATTTCCTCTCATATCACAATGGAACTTCGCTGCAGTTTTATAAAACCAACTTTAGGATAAAGGTAGTCTCTTTTAAAGGGCATTCAAAGGGTCATTTCAGTTGTTAAGTGCTAAGTAACAAATGGCTTATTATTTTGGCAGTTGTAGTAAATACACACCCAGCATGACTACTGAATGTTCAGAACCATCTCCTAATGAAAGTATTTCCTATGTGCCAGACATTGTGTTTGTATGGTTTACATAAATCTCTCTTAATCCTTGTAACAACTTTAGTAGTATTTCCATTTTGCAGATTGAGTAAATGTTTGTCTACCAGTCTACTATATTACGCAATGACAAGGAAATTCTAGCTCTTATATCAGCCTTCTTAAACATCAAGTTATCATTTACAAACCAAGCATTTTCTGGCAGTTACTTTCAATAATATCAAGGTTTAAATTGTACTTAGAAATTCCAAAGATAATTATTACTGTAATTTTTGTGTTTGTTAGGCATCTCCACGGGTTACTGTTGATGATTATTTGGTAGCGAAATTAGCAGATACCTTGAATCATGAAGATCCAACTCCTGAAATCTTTGATGATATTCAAAGAAAGGTATTCTATACAACATTTGTTATTATATCTTTCTTGAAAAATATGTTTATTTACACATGCATGTAATTTGTTTTTAAAAAACTTACTGAAAATTGTAGAAAATTGCTTGGCTGGAGTGGCTCAGTTGATTGGAGCATCATCTCATGTACCTAAGTTGCCTGTTTAATCCCAGTCAGGGCATGTACCTGACTGTAGGTTCAATCCCTGGTCGGGCATGCACTGAAGGCAGTCAATCCATGTTTCTTTCTCACATCAATGTTTCTCTTTCTGTCTCTCCCTTTCTCTCTCTAACCATGTCCTCAGGTGAGGATTTAAAAAAAAAGAGAGGGGAAACTAATGAGTTATGGTTATAATACTTCTCAATTACAAAAAAGGTAGGCCACTTTGCTAGTTTATTTACTTATTTAACAAGTGAGGGAAATCCTCATTTTAGGCTGTTTTATATCGGTTTGACTGCAGAGCCAGTTATATAATCTTAGAATTTCATGAATTGATAATGTAAATAATGTCACTCATATTTATTTGAATGTGTTTGAGTCTTTGGGTGGACTTGTTTCTTAGAGAATACCACTTCCTAGAACATCTTCTATAATAATAAAAGTGTAATATGCTAATTAGACTGGGCATCCTTCTGGACAGCCTTCCGGATGAAGCTGGGGCTGCGAGGGTCGAGCCCCTTGCACGAATTTCATGCATCGGGCCTCTAGTTATGTATAATCTGCTATCATATGACATATGTTGTAGTGGGACCCTTTTCAATGCAATTTCAGTACTGACAGACTAGAGAAATCATTAGTTGTGACAACATCTTGTAAATATGGAGCCTGCGATTCATTATAGCAAGACCATTTTCTTTGTTAATGATTGAATATCTTCATTTATTCAATAGGTGTATGAATTGATGCTACGAGATGAAAGATTTTATCCTTCCTTCAGACAGAATGCACTTTATGTGCGCATGTTAGCTGAGCTGGACATGTTAAAAGATCCTAGTTTCAGAGGATCGGATGATGGTGATGGAGGTATGTGGCACACAGTGCACATTTATATGTGTATGTATTCCTGTATGTTCTTGGGTGTTGTTAATCTTTACCCGAGGATATGTTTCCATTGACTTTTAGAGAGAGTGGAAGGGATGGGGAGCGGCAGACAGGGAAACATCAGTGTGAAAGAGACACATTGATTGCTTCCTGCATGCTCCCCGACCAGTTCCAGTGATCAAGCATGCAATTAGGGTACATGCTCTTGACAGGAATCAAACCCAGGACCCTTCAGTCCATGAGTTGATGCTCTAACCACTGAGCCAAACTCGTTACGGCTGTATTCCTATATATTCTGCTTACCAAATAAAGGACCTTTCAGACAAGATAAATTTTCTTGAAGGCCAAATATAAATTGTAATATATTTAAAAACCTACAAATGAGTGACAATGTTTAGTTACGATACTAAATTAAAATGTTGAAAATGCAACAATAGATTAAAATGTGAATCTATAGAAGCCTTGAATTCTTACATAAAATATTTTTGAGTTTTTTCTTGCAAAAACTTTTATGATGAATAATATTTATGACTAAGATGTAACAGTAGGATTAGTGAGAAGATTAAATGAGAATTACAAGTAATGATTCTAGAGTATACCATGAACTATAAAACTTTATTTTTTTAAAAAAATACAGTTTTTTTCTCTCTTTAATTATACTGTTTTTCCAATTCCTGTACAGTTCAAGCTAGAAAAGCTATAGCAGTCATTTATTGTATTCTTAATAGTTTTTTAAAATGAGGTTACTATCAGTTTGGTATAGTGAGAAAAGCAGATTGTAAGAGTCAGAATAGTTATATTTTACTCCTGTTCTGCTACTTATTACCTGTGTGATGTTGGCTAAACAATTTATTTAAGCCTCATTTTTCAAAATTGTGAGTCTGGATTAATAGTCTTCTCATAATAAATGTCTTACCTTTGACTTATTGTCAGATTTAAATGGAATTATGTGTATGAAAATTAAAAATTAAAACACATGTCAGTTTTTATTGGTAGTAAATAATCAGTTATTTACTAATAGTGGAAGAGGCAGCCCTTAGAGCACAAGGTTCCAGATTCTTAGGCCCAGTGTTTATTTCACTTGTGATCCCGTTCAGAAGGTCTTTTTAAACTCTGGTTAAATATCTAGGGTTTGATAAACTTGCTAGTATGTTCTAAGCAAATAAATAATGTAAATAAAAAGTAAATGGGAAAGATTTGACTAATAGTTTAAGAGAGTACTTTAATTATAATCATTTACTTATGAATAAGTTTATGAATAGGACCATATGAGGTCCTATATTAGTGAGATTTTACTTTTCAAGTAATCTAAGAAATCTATTTACAGATGTTTGCATTTGAGTTTTAATACCTTTTGTCTTAATTATTGACCTGATATCTTGGGTTTTTAATTTGGTACTCTTTCTTGTCTTATTTGTAAAATTAGAATAATATTTAACTGAATTTTATTGCATAACTAAGGAAGTTTTTTTTTCTTTTTTTTTAATTCTCACCCAAGGAATGAGGATATTTTCATTGATTTTTTTTTTTAAAATCAGAGTAAAGAGGGTTTGGGGAGAAGAGATAGAAACATTGATGTGAGAGAGACACATCAATTGGTTGCCTCCCACACACTCTGACTGGGGACGGGTATCAAACCTACAACCCAGGTATGCACCCTTGACCAGGAATCGAACCCACGACCCTCTGGGGAGAGAAGGCTGACACTCTAACCTTGGAGCCACGCTGGCTAGAGCCAGAAAGGTTTTTTTTAAGGGTACTTCTATGGGAGCTGAATAGTAAAATTCAGTTTACCTCAGGTTTACTGTGTGATATATCTGTATGTAGTGTGTGTTGGAAAGTCTTATAGAGCCGCTGTGAAATGTGCAGTAGCAACTCTGCTTCCAGAAGGATTGCTATAAGTATTTTAATTTTATGGACTTTAGAAATTTCTCAGTGTTGTGAAATGTATTTGTTATATTACTCAGAATGAAGGGAGATAACCTGTATCATAATTCTGTCATTTAAAATGACGATAGTAACAATATATCCTATGGGAGTAGTTTTTGATGCTGTAGTGTAAGAACTCTTTCAAAGTCAGCTTGACTTTTAGCTTCCGTATAGATCTTTTTTTAACCAATCTATCCTCTTTTATGAAACTAACAGAAAAAAATTTATAAGTCATTTCAAACTTCTTCAAAACCTCATATTTACTTAAAACATAAAGTATATTTTTTAAAAGTTTTTCTGCAACTGGTTTTGACCTGAAGTAAACGTACTTCTCTTATACATCAGTTATTGAGTAGTCCCTTGCATTGGAATCATTGATTGTAGTTGGAATTGCATATATATGTATCTTTTGTCTTTCTAGACATTGCTTTTTAACATTCCGTGTCCTAACTATTGAGCTTTTATATGTTTTATAACAAAGAAATTGCCCCTCCCTTTTCTTTTGAAATCATTTGAAAAAATCATGTGGAATAGTGTGTATAATACAAACTATTATAAAAATAGCTGTCAGACCCTGGCTGGTGTGGCTCAGTTGGTTGCAGGTTCAATTCCTGGTCAGGGCACATACCCAGGTTTTGGGTTCCATCCCTGGTCTAGACTTGTACACAGTGGGGTAACTGATTGATGTTTCTCACATTAATGTTTCTTTTCTCTATCCTTCCACCCTCTCTAAAATAAACATATCCTGGGGTGGGGATTTGAATGATTAAATGAATGAATGTTAAGTGTATTGTCCTTGTCAGTGTTTAGGTTTTAGGCAGTTGCAACTTTTTCAAATAATAATGCTTATCTCTTCTTGTCTTTATAAGATTATTTAATAAAAAATAGGCCTTCCCAAATTTTTTGTTTCAAAGTTATTTCCTCACTTTAAATTTAAGTGCACTCACACTTGGTGTATATTATACATTCTGAAATTTTGGCTACTTGTCTCAAATTAATAGAAATTTGATTTTAAGATCTCTTTAGAGATCTAAATTCATAATCTCTTAAGTGCTAGAAACCATACATATTAACTTTAAACTATAAATGCATATTGCTTTATCATATATTTATTTGGTAACTTAATTTGCTGAGATATAGATAAAGCCTGAGGCAAAAGACATAAGCCAGTTAACTGCCATGTGTTCAAAATGAAACCATACCCACACACCATGATATTTTGAATTTAATTTAAAAAAAATCATCTGACTCTGGAGTTGAATAAAGGATGGCATTTTCTTTTTGTGAGGTGCTTGGTTTGATTATTTCTTCATCTGATGCCATTTATGGGGATTGAATTTTATTTGTACAGTATGATATATTACAGCGATAAATTAAATAACAAAATAATAATTTTCAGTTCTACGGAAATATCAACAAAAGCGAGCTCGAAATAAAAATAAACCATCGACACAAAAAGCCTTGAAAACGCTAAATTTTGTTGATGCTCCAAAGAAAAATGCACACCCTGCTTACCATTTTAGGCATTTAATTCATGACTAGAGGCCCGATGCACGAAGATTCTTGCAAGAATGGGCCTTCCTTCCCCTGGCTGCCGGCACTGCCTTTGCTCTGGCCGGAGCCGCCTTTCACCTTCCCACACTGCCCAGAGGCCCAGAGTGGCTGGTGCTAACGCCTGCGTTGTTGCCATGGTGACGACGCAAGTGTCCCACCCCAGCCGCTTGGCACCTGCATATGCAAATTAACCCGCCATCTTTGTTGGGTTAATTTGCATACCCACTCCTGAATAGCTGGTGGGCGTCTCGAAGGTATGGTCAATTTACATCTTTCTTTTTTATTAGTGTAGATAACACAAACAAATTTTAAGTGTCACAGTGAACAAAAGAAATCTCAAGTGTCGCAGCATTTATCTCTCGTGTGTCTGAGTGGCAGCCCTATATATTGATATTGGAATTTCTTCCATATGCGCTGGAATATCTACAAATTTAAGTTACCATAATTTTCTTGACAAAACCAGAGATGTCACTAACAAGTCTGATTTTAAAATTGACCAGAGTTGATATGTGCGGTTTGCGGCTATAGACATACGTGGTGTGTGGGGGGCAGGTTTGCCATTTGCATCTATAGACACTTATGGTGTACAGAGGGTTAATTTTCATAAAGTATAATTGACTTATTTTCTAACATTTTAAAAAATAATTTTAGTTGCTTTTTAATTAAGTGGCATTGCATATCGAATTTTACATATATTTTGTTCTAATATTTACATAGGTTTAAAAATCTAGACTTATAATGTTTTTGAACCAAATCTACCAAGAATAAGTATACTTAAAGATATGTTAAAAATCAGTCTGTTCTTCACACTAAAGAATAATTTTATTTGTAATATTTCTTAATCCAGTGAACCAGAAATAACAAAATACTTCTCACATATCGAACACTCAGTCTGCTATATTTTCCTCATGTTTATATTGTATTAGGCAACTTAATACCGCACTATGAGGATAAAATAATTTAATAGTTGCTCTCTCTGTACATGAATGCCTGTGTGTGTGTGTGTGTATGTGTGTGTAGGCAGCTTAGGTACATACAGAGTGGGGCAGAAGTAAGTTTACAGTTGTGAATACACAAAACACATTTATTCTTACATTATTATTAATTGTTGTATTATCTTCGATATGAATAATTGTAAACCTATTTTTGCCCCACCTTGTATCCTATATAATAAAGAGGTAATATGCAA